GCAAAATTTGAAGACCTGCTTCGTCGGGGCGGTTCGTTGGCACCCTGCGCACAGCTCCAGCGCCAGCACCATCCACTCCATGCGCCCATACCCCACCCGAGCCGCCGCAAATGCATCGGCGGGCGCCGTGCTTACCAACAAGAAAAGCGACGAGCTGACCGCCGCACTTCAGACGCGTCCGCACGTACTCTGCGACGCGCAGCAGATGCGCCTGACGTATACACGCCGCGAAGCTCGTCAAGGTGCATTCTATGCTGCTTGGTGCGAACGACACCCAGCGTTCCTCGCGCCGGCTCCAGCCCAACGGATGACATTGCGCAGGTACCACGCGTCCTCCAGACGCACACGCGCGTGGCACATGTGTCACAGATCCTCGCCCAGAATTGGTCTCTGCTGCGCACGCTCTGGATGCTTACCCGCCCACGCATCACTAGTAGAGGTGAACGTGCCGCCGACGCGGTGCAACTCATCAATAATGAACTGCAGCAAATAGAGGTCAACCGCCCACCATGCCATCTCACGGGGCATCATAAGGCATGGCAAAGCAGTAGCAGTTGGCGTGGGCACGGTGGCGATATCATTCATATTTGCACGACCGCCGTTGCTTGCGTTTTTCTTGTTCCCCCTATTGCCGACGAAAAAGAATGCTTGCAAGACGGGCACTACTATTCACAGAAAGTGCAAAACTGAACCCCTGCTCCGAGAATGCATACACGGAAACGAAAAACGCACTGTGCTCCTGTTTTTTCCGAACCCCTGCTCCGGAGTGCGGTTTCTGCGTTCCTGTATTTCCGACTGGTCGCAACATGGTCTCTGCTTTTGCCTGTCTGCTCCACCAATTTCGTTGTTTGACACTCTGGGCACCAACCGTGGTGCGTTGATGGGAGCCGTATTGTGTCTGATTCTGGGCAAGCTGTTTGCATTTCTCAAGTCTGGGGCGTTCAGGTCGCACTCGCTGGCGCCCCAAACTCCAACGCACGATCAGCGCTTCCACAGGACATGACTGATGGTGCTTTCGCCAGCTTCTGCGCCAGCTTGGCGCACTAAGGCCTTCACAAAAGGCGGGGCCAACTCGCAAGACATGCATGGCACCGAGCGCGCAAGGGACTCCAAACGACACCGTTGGTAGCGGACGCATCCGTGCTTCTGCTTCCTCTGTTCGAGCGGGCCCTCTGTGCGCGGGAAACGAGGCCGCAGCGCGCGCACGCGCCCAGGCCAAGACATGATCCGCGAAACGGTGGCCACGGCATAGATATCATAAAACTAGCGACGACGAGGTTAATGTCATCCATCTATAAAATACTTATTTTTTAAAATAAAAAATGTTTCATGTTATGGGGCCCGTGCGCGAAGCTGGGAACCCGAAAAAAAAGAGTTCCTAGTACTTTGATTATAACAAGTATTGCTTTGGAGAGGGCGCGCGCCCATGTTGTGCGCAGCGTCCGCTCGCGCCCGACGACTTGTTTTGCCATCGCCATCGAGCCACTTTGTGGCCTCCTCGTCGCCACGGCCAGACTAGCTGCGGGATTACGGCCTGGAAACATCACTGGGCTGATCGGCGTGCCGAGGTGCCTTCGAGGCGCCTTCAAGCGTCCTGGGCGCAGAAGTGTTGCGTGACGCATACCACACACGCCAAGGGACACGACGCATTTCCAGCGCCCGCCGTGTAGGTGTCGTTTGAAGGGGCCCTGGGACACACAAATGAATACACACAAATAACAGGAATCCCCATATTTTCCCATATTTCCTGGGTTTCTGTCTTCCCCCCCACTTCCCCATATTTTCCCATATTTTCTGGGGAATCGACGATTAATTGTGTCTGTGGGTTTTTTCCCCTCCTGATAGGTGTCGTGGGAGTTCCGAGGGTGCCGAGCGGGCGGGCGCTCTCAGCGGGTGCACTCTGTGGGTGTGCCCCGCGGGCGCCCCTGCCGGAGGCCGGGGCGCCCCGCGGGGCGCACCGCGGACGCCGCGTGGCCCTGCACGCGCCAGCGGAGAGCCTCCGAGAGCCTCCAAAGCTCTGTGGGAAAGCACACACAAACACACACACACACACACACACACACACACACAAAAAAAAACAAAAAAACAAAAAAAAAAAAAAAAAAAACAAAAAAAAAAAAAACGTGGAAAACACACACACACACACACACACACACACACACGCGCGAAAAACACACACTGTGGGAAAAACACTGTGTGTTTGTTGTGTTTTGTTTGTTTTTTTGTGTGTTGTTTTTCCCCCCAGAGGGTTTCCGCAGGATCCCGAAGACTTCGAAGCGCCCCGAGCATCTCCGAGGGATCCCCAGAACCTTCGAGTCAGCGAGGGTCTCCGAGAGCCTCCAAGATTCGAAGGCTTCCGAAAATTCGCGAAGGTTCTCGAATGCCTCCCAGAGCGTCCGCGAATTGCAGACAGCCTGCAAGCGAATGAACTCCGTTCCATGCGCTGGAGAGCGTGAGCAAAAGAAGGCAATGTGGTCGAAGTCTCACCGCTTTGCGGGAGCGGCTGCACGTCGGCCTCCTGGGCCACCAGCGGAAAGACCAGGAAGCGTCCGCGGAGGCACCACGAAGAGCCCACCAAAGGTTCACGGCAGAGGGACCAAGAAGGGGCCACGGAGGGACCAGGGAGGGACCAGGGATGGACTCCGAAAGGACCAGGAAGGGACCACGGAAGGGCATAAGAACGGACCACGGATAGACAAAGACTTACAGAGGGGTCCAAGAATCCAGGGGACTGCCGCCGGCATGGCACGGGCGCCGGCTCGCCCCGGCGTGCCCGAGAGACGGAGGCGAGAAGAGCGGCAGTGGTGAGCACGGGCTGCGTTGCCCTGCCTGCCCCCTCCTGCGCCGCACGGCGCTGGGATGGCGCAGCCTGAGGAGCCGAACGATGTACACCGACGTGCTGGGAGGAGGAGGAGGAGGAGGAGGAGGAGGAGGAGGAGGTGGTGCCAGCCTCACGTGGTACTGCGCCCAAGGGCGGCCGCCATGCGCCCCCCCCGCCGGTCCACCCGTACAAGCATATTCGAACGGCAGAGCGGATCCTAGTGCGCACGGGATCCTGGCGTGTACGTGTTTCGTCGCTTCCCGAGGAAGGCGGGGAAAAAGATGTACACCACGCCACCCCGACGTCGTCCTCGAGCCTCGAGTCCTGGGAGTGAGACGCAGCCCGTCGCTGGCCCTGCAGATGCTCCAGTTTCCGGCAAGCGGGCCTGCATCGGTGGCTCGCTGCTGCTGTCAGCAATTCTTGGTGGGGGATGGCACGGTAGGTAATCAAGGGTTGTGGATGCCATGACAATGGACACTCTAACAATCCTATCATTGAATTAAAAATGTGCTTAAAATGTGTAAAAACACGTGCTAACAATGTTTCACACATGTTGTTACATGTTTAAAGCATGTTTGATACATATGTTAGACATCTGGAAATGATTTGGCAGCACGCTTCCTCTCCATTAATCGACTTCCACAAATCAAGGGGAGGCCATGTCTCAAGAACTCGGTTAATTCTTGTCTAGCCCCGCGTGCCCCAATCACTCCAACAGAAGAAGAAACAACTGTACAAGCATAAACTTTCGAAAGTCCGTACGGATGTCTTGGATCGGCGCTGGACCCTCTCCCTGGCACGCGGAGGGCGCTAGGGACGGTGCCGGAGACGCCGCCGGGGGGCCCAGCGCCGACCAAGAAAAATCAGCGCAAACCTCCGAAAGTTTCAATTATGCAGCTTTCCTTCTTCGAATGAAATCGGCGTCGCCCCAACATACTAATACTATGTGTGCGTCGCCCCGCCATGGGCGACGCGCACACCGAAAAATCGTATAGTATATGAAGTCGTGGCGGGCGTTGTCTGGCCACAACGCTCGGGAAACGATCTACTACAGGATGGATATATACCATATGCTCGGGTCGCCCCGGACGCGCGCCTCCCAAGGAAGACATCTAGTACTGGCATGTTTCCGTGCGTCCCACGAAAGGCCGTTGGAGACCCGGAGGCTGGCTTCCGATCTCCGCCCTCCTCCCTCCTCGCCACCTCCCCCCCTAAGGCACATCCGCAGCCCTGCGGCCGCCGGAGACGGTAAGACCAGGCCGAGCCGGACAGCATGCAGCTCCGCGACCACACGCAGGGCGGGAGGGAGAGGGGAGGGGTGGGATCGAGGAGCAGAGAAGGGAATCCAGCGCCGATCTGAGGAATCCGCGCGGGCCTCCGAAAGTGTTTGTGTGTGTGTGTTGATGCATGTGTTTCTTCTTCGACGAAGAGCAGGGACTGGCTCGGGGGCGGAAATCACCTGGAACCTGCAGTGCAGCGCCGATAGATCGGCGATAGGCTCCCGACTACAAAAGCGGATGTTGAGGGGGGGGGGCTGGCCAGTCACCCCCTGTCGGCGCCCCAGAAGGCAGGAGGGAAGGAGGTATGTGAGGGCGGCACCCATCCAAACTGCTGCTTGCGTGTCGTGCACTTTCGATGATGCCTGAACCGAACGAACCTTCCCCCCTCCCTCCTCCTCCTCCCTGCCTCATCCTCTTCCACCGCCTCCAGTACTGCTCCTCCTCTTGCGGACGCCAGCGGGGAGGCTGCCTTGCTGATCGGCCCCAGAAAAGGCGGTTTCCAGCTGGCCCTTCCCAGTGGCGCAGTACCCATGTTGATTGTTTTTCTTTGCACTCCTCATCCTCCTCCTCCTCCTCCTCCTCCTCCTCCTCCTCCTCTTCCTCCTCCTCCGCAACCTCCTACTCTTCATCATGAAAATGCCAGCGCCGCGACGCACGCCGGCCAGGGCTGCGGTCGCACTTGTTGTGCGGCCACTTCCGGACACGCCCTCACTGCGCGGAGCCCCGCAGCAGGCCGCGCGAGGCCGCGGCCTGCACGAGCGAGTAGTCGGCCCCCGAAAGGACCGCCTTCGCTACGATGATGGGTGCAACGTATTGATGCTTTTCGCTACTGCACGGCACCACGACACACACTAGCCAGGGCTGCTATCACACCGATGCGGCAACTGCGGAGCACGCCCTCACTGAGCGGAGCCCCGCAGCAGGCCGCGCGAGGCCGCGGTCTGCACGAGCGAGTAGTCGGCCCCCGAGAGGACCGCCTTCGCCTTCTTTAGGGAGTCCACCTCGCCCGCCCGCGCCGATTTGCGCATCTCGAAGTTGGCGATGAGCCAGTCGCACTCCAGGTGCAGGTCCTTAATCTCCATCTCCTTCAGGTACAGCTCCTTGGACGTGTCCTTGTGATCCTGCTGCAGCTTCACCAAGGCAGCCTCGAGGTCCGCCTTCTCGCCCTCCTTCTGCTCTGTGGACTTGGAGTCAGCGGCGCGCTTGTCGCCCGCCTCGGCCATGAAGGCCTCGTACTCGGCCTGGTCGTCCTTCTCCTGGGTGGTCATGGCGGTCATCTCCTTGTCGAGGTCGGCGATGAGGAGGTCCATCATCGCCACCACGCCGCCGTGCTCCTCGCTCTTGGTCGCGTACGCGCTCCAGGTCGACGGCGGCGGGCCAGGGTCGGTGCGCTGCTCGAGGCTCATCTCCTCGGAGATGCGGCCCATGGCGCTGCGCTCCACCTTCGCGGGCGGCACGTACATCTTGGGCGCATCCGCCACCACGCCCCGAGGCACGAGGTGGAGTGTCCTCAGGTCCCTTGGAGTTTCTCCGCACTGCATATTGTAAATTCTCTCTCTAAGAGGCCCGGATCCCCTTGTGACGGGCCCCCTCGGGACTCTCTGGGGCGCTTCCAGAGCGTGCCTCATGACTCCTCACAGGCCTCAGGAGCATAGTTCGGAATCCAAAACTCCAACATGCTCTAAGATGGTTCGATGGGCCCGTCATGGGGCTCTCTTGGGGGCCTCGTGTGCGTCTTGGATGCCCTGGGGTGCCGGCCCAAGAGAACAAGCACAATGTTGAAACATACCGGCAAATATACTTGCCTACTCGCATTGCTGGACTTGCGAGCGACCAAGACGGCAGACGAGGCCCCAAAGATCGCCCCAGGACGACGCCCGAGCCCCCAAGAGGGGGCAAAAGGAGATCAAAGACGACCCGAGGAAGCCCCCGAGAGGCCTCCATGAGGCCTTCCACGTGAACCAAAGAGATCTCTAAGAGGCCTCTGGTCAACGACCCAAGCACGGTGGCGGGATAGGCCAGAGGCCATTGGATCCGCCGCCCCCTGCTTGCAGGGGTGCACGGCGTGCTGGATGATTCAGGTTTTGGTTTTGGTTCTTTTTCTAAAAGAACTTCCCAGTGGGCTTCGGCCCGTCCCGCCGGGGTCCCGGGAGGAAGCCGAAAGGACCTCAATCCGGAAAAAAATCCTCCGAAAAACGGCCGTTTCGCTCGGGACATCCTCAAAAAATCGCGAAGATGGCCCAAGATGGCCTCCAAGTCCGCCCGAGATGGTCCAAGACGGCCTCCAAAACGGCCCAAGAGAGTCCAAGACGGCCCAAGACGGCCCAAGAGGCCCCCCAGAGGCCTCCCAGACGGCCCAAGAGGCCTCCAAGAGGTCCTCCAGGAGAGTCCGAAGAGGCCAAAATCATTGATTTTTCCTTGGTTTTTGAAGGATTCTGGCATTTGCGCCTTTTCGGCTCTCCGACGGCTCGAGACGGCCCAAGAAGCCCCCAAGATCGCCCAAGAGGCCCCCAAGAGAGCCCCATGATGGCCCAAGTGGCCTCCAAGATGGCCCCTAGAGGGCCCCAAGAGGGCCCAAGAGGCCTCCAACACGCCCAAGATGGCCTCCCAGACGCCCAAGATGGCCTCCAAGACGGCCCTGGAGCATTCCAAGCGGGCCCCAAGTCGGCCCATAGAGGCCCCCCAAACGGCTTCCGACGGCTTCAGACGTGCCAGGAACCCACCAAGATGGCCGAAGTTGGCTCGAAGCTGGCCCGAGACGGCCCAAAAAGCCCCAAAGATCGCCCAAAGCTTGCCCAAGAGGCCTCCAAGACGGCCAAGATGACCTTCAAGATGCCCACGTGTTCCCCGAAGGCTTTCCAAACCGATTCGGGGAACACGTGGTCCGATAGCTTGGCAGGTCTGGCCTCAACGTTCGGCCACATAGGCGCTTCCAAAAAGGCAGGGGGCGGCGGTGATTCGCCGTAGGCGTCTTCGATAGAACTGCGCGAGACGGTTCTTCGCCATCTTCAGGATGTCCTTCGCGGCTGTGTCCTCCTGCATCGTCTTCTTGTAGAAGGCGTTCTCCTCCTCGCGAGTCGTTGTGGCCTCCTTGACCTGGCCGTCGAGGTCAGCAATGCCCTTCAGCAGCGCGGCGATCTCTTCGGCCAATGTCGAGATGCTCTCCTCGGTGGTGGCGATGCTCTTCTCCAGATCGCCGATCGTGTTCTCCAGGACCTTCTTGTCGTCCTCGGACTCATCGAGTGACTTCTCGCAGTAGGCCTACGGGCGGAGAGGCAGGAGGCTGAGTGAGGAGGAAGCGGCGGAGGAGGGGGGGAAGAGGAAAGGCCAACGAGGAGGGGCGAAGTCGGGAGTGATCTCAGCATGGATGGACACGCTGCTGGCTTTACGAGGAGATCGGCTGGGCCCCGCGGAGCCTGTTGCAGCCCTCGGTATTGCCCCCTCTCTAGCTATGCTGCCCTCCGCCCCGCCCCCTGTCCTCGTCCTCTGTACTGCCCCGTCTCCCTTGCAGCCCTACTCCCCATCCTTCTCTCCCCCCCCCCTCCCACTTCCCCCAGACCACCCTTCCCCTTTCAGATCGCGCGCGAACTCTCATGCCCCCCGTTCCTCCCCCTCGCTCTCCCTCACCCCGCTCGTCTTCAGCACACGCAGGGCCTTCTTGTCATCATCATCCGTTTGCTCAGCGCCAAGCAGCGCCACCATTTCATCGATCATCTTGATCACCTTGTCGAAGCTCTTGGCCCCTCCGCGGAGCGCAAGAGAGATAAGCGCCACGCGGGGGTCCTGGCTCTTGACCTTGAGCAGGGCCTTCAAGGCCGCCGTCTGCACCTGCTTGTTGGTTACCTGCAGCTGCATCAGCGTCGGCGTGGGGAGGGTCTTTTTCCGCTATCGCGCCTTCGGCACGAGGGGCCGCGCCACAATGCCTGCTGGTTGCCTAGTAGTTTTGTGAGGAGGGGGTATTGTGGAGTATGCGGCCTGTGGACGCTTTCATGAGTGGGAGGCGTCACTTCTCCGTCTCGCTGTTTCCATCCTCCCACTCCACCTCCTCCACCTCCTCCACCTCCTCCTCCTCCTCGTGGGAAAGGCTCGCGTGATGCCTCCTCTCCCAGTGGGGGAGGGGAGGGGCAGGGCGGAGAGATAGAGCGGGGTGATTCCCACCCACCCACCCTCATCCCACCCTCCCAAAAAAGGGCCTGGGGGGGGGAGCAGAAAAAAGATGGGCGACCCCCATCCACCCCTCCCCACGCGGGCCAATAACACCCCAAGAAAGCTCCAGAAGCGCCCCGAGACCCGACCGGATGGCCCCAATGTCAGGCCGCAGAGGCCAAGCGACAATCCAGAGGCCCCAAGATACCACCAAGAGAGGCACCAGGAGGCGCCCAGGGAGCCCTCTGGCAAGGCCTCCAGAGGCGAAGAACGATGGAAAATCAGGTGAATGCAACTGTTGTTTGCTTCCGATGCTTCTCGGCTTGCGGTGGGCTCCAGGAGGCCCCCTGACGGCGTCTGAGTATCAGGATGGCCCAAGAGGGCCCCGCCCAAGCAGGCACCGTGGACGGCCCCAAGACGGGAAGAACCCCCCAAGACAGCCCAATATCGCCACAGGAGAGCTCCACGACGGCCTGAAGGCCCGACAAGATGGCCCCAAGATCGTCCCACCGCACTGAACTGGAGAAGGCACTGAATTGCTCCTCCTCTTCGCTCCTCCTCCTCATCCTTCTCTTCCTCCTCCTCCTCCTCCTCCTCCTCCTCCTCCTTCTCCTCCCTCCTCCTCCTCCTCCTCCTCCTCCTCCTCCTCCTCCTCCTCCTCCTCTCCTCCTCCTCCTCCTCCTCCTCCTCCTCCTCCTCCTCCTCCTCCTCCTCCTCCTCCTCCTCCTCCTCCTCCCTGCTGCCCTTCTGCGCCGGAACGGTGGCGGTGGTTGCCGCAGGCAGCTGGCTGAAGAGCTCCAAAGCATCGTCATCGTTGAGGATCTTGATGGTCTCAGCCAGGGCCAAGAGCTCGTCAGTGCGAGTCTTCGAGCGCTCCTCCCATTCGGCCGTCTTCGTGTCGCAGCCCTTCTCGAGCTCGGCCAGAAACTTCTTGTCCTCCAGCAGGGTCTTCGCCGTGTCGTCCAGGTCCTCCTTCATGTTAACGATCTCCACGGCGAGTTCGCCAGAAGCTTCGAGTTTCGACTCGATCTCCGAAGTGAGAGCCTCGATCTCGGCCGTCTTGGCGGCGCTCAAGGCCTCGTAGTCCTTGATGGCCTTCTCTTCCGTGGCGGTGAGATCCGAGAGGTCCTTACCCATGGTGTCCTTCATCTGCTTCAGGATCCCAACAATCTGCCCGCTCTTGGGCACATAACCCTGCCCCTGCGCGAGGAAGGCGGTGAGCACGTCGCGGTCGGGCGCAGACATGTCCGCGTCCACTGCAAGGCGACGCAGCACAGTGCCCGCCTGCGTCTGCAGAAAGCTTCCACTCATGCCCGACTCGATGGCCTTAATGGCTGCGGCAAGGGCAGAGAGGTCAGTCTGGAAGTCGGATGACTCCTTGGCGTACGCAGTGGCCTCCTTGGCCCGGAGCGCGGTGGCGGTCGCCAGGGCCGTTTTGCCCTCAGCGCGATCAGCCTTGGCCTTCTTAATATCCGAGTCAAGCTGAGACTTCTTCGACTCCCCCTCCTCCAGCATGGAAGTAACCTTGGTGATCTTTTCGTCCGCCGTCGAAATTGCGGTTCCCAGCTGGCCCTTACCGGTAGTGCAATAGCACATCCGCCACCGCGAATTGCAGAGGTTGGTACATGTGTGCGTGTGTGGTGTGTTATGTGTGTTGTATTCTGTGTGTAGTGTGTTGAGTGTGTGTTGCGATGTGTTGTGTTGTGTTGTGCTGTGCTGTGCTGTGTTGTGGTGTGGTGTGGTGAGTTGTGTTGTGTTGTATTGTGTTGTGTTGTGCTGTGTTGTGTTGTGTTGTGTTATGTTGTGTTGTGTTGTGTTGTGTTGTATTGTGTTGTGTTGTGTTGTGTTGCGTTGTGTTGTGTTGTGTTGTGTTGTGTTGCCGTGACGCGTGGTGTTGTGATGTGATGTGTTGTGTTGTGCTGTGTTATGTTGTCCTGTGTGTGGTGTGTGGTGTGTGGTGTTTGTGCGTGTGGTATGTGCGTGTGTGGTGTGTGTGTGTGCGGCTGTGTGCGTGTATGCATGCGTGTGCGGGTGTGCGTGAATGTGCGTACGTGGTGCGTGTACGTGCGCGCGTGTGATTTGTGTGTGTGTGTGCGTGGAGGGGGGGGGGCTGTGTGCGTGCGTGGGTGCGCACGTGCCTGCGCGCATGCCTGCGCGCGCGTGCGTGCGTGCGTGCCTGCGTGCGTGCGTGTGCGTGTCTGTGTGTTGCGTGTGTGTGTGTGTATGCGTGTGTGCGTGTGCGTGTGCGTGTGTGTGCGTGTGCGTGTGCGTGTGTGTCCGTGTGCGTGCGCGTGTGTGTGTGTGCGAGCGTGTGTGCGCGTGAGTGCATGTGGGTGTGCGTGTTTCGCGTGTGCGTATACTATCTATAGTGTGTTGTGTGTTGCGTGTGTTGTGTGTTGTATGTGTTGTGCGCTGTGTGTTGTGAGCGTTGCGTTCGATATGTGTGCGCGTTGTGTGTGCTGTGAGTGTGCGTGGGGTGCATGTAGTGTGTGTGTTGTGTGTGTTGCGTGCATGCAGTGTGTGTGTGTGTGTTGTGTGTGCTGTGTTTTGTGTGTTGTGTGTTGTGTGCTGTACGTATTGTGTGTTGCGGTGGTGTGTTGTGTGTTGTGTGTTATGTGGGGTGTGTGTGGTGTGTGATGTGTGTGTGTTGTGTGTGCTGTGTGTACTGGGGGCCAGCGCCGCCCAGCCCCCGCGGCACCCCCCCTGGCAGAGGCGGGGCGTCGGGGCAGCAGCCCCCAGAAAGGGGGACAGGCGCTGCAGGCGCAAGAGAATCCGACGGCGGGCCCACGCCCGCCGAGGCCCCCGACGACGAGCCTGCCCCGCAAAACCCAGCCAGCGGACAGCGGCCCCCGCAGACGCGCGCGGCAGGCGCGCTCGCCCGACCGCGCGCCCGCCGCGCGGCTCACCTGCCGGGCCGCGCTACGCCCCCCGCCCCCCCACCACAACCCCCGCGCCGCGCTGCGCAGCAAGCCGCGACAGGCCATCCATTGGCACCCAGTCTGGAACTACACCGCCAGAAGGTGACTACCTACCAGACCACCCCAACCCAACCCGAAGACCCGAATTTGACCCGAATTTCGGGTTGGGGGGGGCACGGGTTCCATGTGTTTTTTCAACGTTCCCCGACCCCCCCCCCACTGGAAATGGAAGGCAAATCGAGGGCTTCGGGTTGGGTTGGGGTGGTTTGGTGGGTGGTGACCCCCACCCCCTCACCACAACCCCCGCGACGCGCTGCGCAACAAGCCGCCGACAGGCCGTCCAGTGGCACCCAGTCTGGAGCTGCACCGCCAGAAGGGAGGAGAGCTGGCCCGAGGTCGTCAGCCGCAACAAGCGGGAACGCGGCCCCACGTTAGTTACCGGGTGGAAAGCCGCCCCCGGGCAGCGCGCCAGGGGCCCACGCGCGACCCAGCTACCTGGGGGGAGCGGGCCCGCGAAGATTTCGTAACCCAGCTCATCGATAACCAGCCTCGAACGCATCCCTATCCCTAAGATGGGCGAGCAAAAAGCGAGGACAATCTTAGGGATAGGCCCTCAGAAACTGAGGGAATCCTTAAGATCGGCATCGAGGTGAGGTGATGTCAAACATAGGGATAGGGATACGTTTCAAACTGGTAAATCGACGCTGACTTCGACGCCCGCAACCTGCGCTAGAGGATGGGCACCCAGGTCAAGGGGCAACGGGCCTGGGACAGAGAGGTGCAGAAGAGGTAGCGCGCCGCTGGGCTCGGCAAAAGGAAAGAGAAAGGTCCCGAGCCACACGGGCAGGGCAAGCGGCGCGCTGAGTCTGCCTGGCCCAGCAACGAGCAGGATCCAGGCGGCGGCGCCCGGGGAGCTCCACCCGCTACTAACCAGAAAGTTTCGAACTGATCCCAACCGCGCCCCAAGGCCCCTGGCCGACCCCAACAATGCCGCAGCGCGTGCCTTGACTGCAGTCGAGCGGCTGCCCCCTGCGCTGCAGTCGCCCGGCAGCTGCGCGGCTGCACCTCTCCCAGCTGGGCGCTCGCCCCGCGCTCGCCCCACCCCTCGCAGAGCCGGGCCGCTCAACAGTGCACCAGTTCGGCGCGCCCACCCCCCCTTCGCCCCACCAGCGGACCTCCCCCCGGCCGCGGTGGCGGCCGCCTCTGACACTGGGGCGGCATCCGCCTGCCCTCCAACGCCCGCGACCCACGGGCGCTGGACTGCCCCGCGCGCCACCGCCCCCGCCCCCCAGCGCCGGGCGAAGGGATGCTGCATCTCTCGCGGGCCCTCTGCGTGAAGGGCTGCGGTTGCTGCTCGCGCAGCAAGCCTTGCTTGCGACTGGCTGGCCGGCTATCTCATGGATAGTCATGGGGCGTGCGTCGCCACGATGCTGCGGACGCGCCATCCCCGTGGCTGGCCGGGCTGCCGGGCGATCCTAGCGGGTAGTCGATGCGTGCATACCGCGCGCGGATGGCTCGCCACAGATTTCGTCGCGGCGAGAAGGTCGCGCGACCTGCCGCGCTGTTCTCGCATTGCCCAGCACTGTTGCGGCGGCGGTTTTGGCCAGGCAATTACTCGCCGCGCCCGGCTGTTGCACAGCTGTACTTTCAATCCCTGTTCGCCCTTGCAGTTTTCCGCGATGCGACAGTGGCCTACGCAGCTGCAAGTTGGGCTACGACGCTCGCCTACTGCACCTTATTTGCGGCGTTTTTGCATTGGACGCGTCCGCGAGTCACTTTCCTTGGTTATCTGTGGTTGTCATGGCCGCGACTATGCCGCGTCGCCGTATCACGGGCGATTTGGGATCATTGGTCCTCAACCTACCCGGCTGGTTGCACGACCGCGGACACCACCAATCCGCTCAGCAGCGACCTTCTGCGGCTCCTTATTACACCGACTGTGCTTCAATGGCCGCATTCTGGGCTGTCACGCGTCAGCTCGCGCTGGCTGCTGTGTCGAGTCCTTCCTGCACTCACTTTGGAAGGCCTGGCAGCTGCATCCTGATTAGTGCACTTCATTGTCTAACACCTCTATGGTGATTCGGTGGCCGCAAATTCGCACCGGACTGCTCGCGGTTCAATTTACTTCGAGACGAGTCTTCTCCTCGGTTCTCTGGCCGCTGCATATTTCGGCTGGTTAGAAAATTTGATACGCACTGTGCCTTCGACAATGCTCGATCGCAATTGGCACCTCCATCTGCCGTCCGCGCCTGAGGATCCTCTGCGCCGTCGACTTTAAAGTGTGTGTGCGCTGTGGCTTCGTAAGCTGCGCCTTCGACAACGCCCGATCACAATTAGCATTTCCATCTACTGCTCGCGCTTGAAGACCCTCTGCGCCGCTGATTCAAAAAGTGTGTGCACTGTGTATGTATGTGTGTCGGGCCTCGTGTTGTGTTCACCTGTTTCGCTTCGCAATGTTCAATGACGACCATGCCTGGAGCCCTACATGCGTCCACTGTTTGCTCCAAGTCCTTGAGATGCTGGCCTCCCAAATCAGAAGTGAAAATGACGGTGGACAAGTTACGGACTCTCCCCCCCAACCAGCCCCCTGCCAAGCACCCCCCGACCCCCACCAAGGGACCGTCGGCGGACACGCGCGACAGCGCATCTGCTAAACTTCTTGTAAAGATCCTCTTCGGTCTTCCCCTCCTCTGTCACCTGCTTCTGCATATTCTGCAGAAGGGTGACCACCCTGCGGATCGGGTTGGCGCGCTGGCCTGCCGCCAGGTCCGCGCGGGACGACCGGGACGCGCTGTTCGTGGACACGGCGCCGGCCGCCGCCAGGAGGGCGCACACCAGCGACGCACGGAACATCTCTGCTTGGATCAGAGGCCTTGAAGTCTGCGTTGATAGGC